CTTGCATTGTGGATTGTTGGTTTGGAGTTTCTAACTTAATTTGGTGTTCAGATCGATATTATGGAACGAATGTTTTTAAGAGGTAGATAATGTAACACCCCTAAAATACATGAACAAGACATTAATTCATCGAAATAAGCAAGAATACTATATCTATATATATATATATAGATATAGATATATATATATATATATAGATATATATATATATATATATATATATATATTACTATTTCGACGGAAAATATCATTTACGAGGGTATATATATATTAAGAGAGAAGAGCTTCTGATTGTCCTCCTGTGTGCTTCAACAAGAGTAAAGTTTCTACACTAGCATTATTTTTGTAATAAAAAGAAGGGTCCACTTAAATAACTCTTATTCACATATTTATTCTATGGTTTTGATTTATTTGTCCTAACATTTTTAGTTTATATTTTTAATTACACAAATATATTACTATAAATTATAATAATTAATAATATACATATTTATTTATTTATTTTTACTTCAGTCAACTCAAATCTTCTCCAATTTTAATTTTTACAATACATAAAAAATCTATCACTATCACATAAATTGATAAAGAGACTACATATATTATTGAAAGTTACATTTTAAATAAATACTATAAATTACAATAATTAATGACCTTAAATATCTAAAAATCATATTAAAAATGATTGAATTTTCAAATTATGTGTATATCACATAAAAAAAATTAAAATTATGTTAATTAACAACTTTAAATATATATATATATATATATATCAAAAATCATATTTAATAATTAATTAACTTTTCAAATTTTATTTATATCACATAAATTAAGAACGAAAAATAACATATGCACAAGCTGTTGTAACTAGTATAAATATAAAAGGATAGGTATTGCCCAGTACTCAATAGTATAACAATCAATATTAAATCATCTCTTCCAAGTGAACAACATAGAATGTTAGACTCCATCTCCAAGTTCCTTGCAAGTTGCAAGTAAGCTCCTCATCCTTTCTCTGTAATTTACTCGATCTTGCACTCCACTTAACTATTTTTTCAAATTAATGGATTTTATATACTTTTGGAATTATAAGTCTACGTACAAGACTTACCAGCTTAAATATGGTTAAAATAACTTGTCTCTAGAATTATGGACTCTATTGTACCCTGAAATGAATGAGCATGAAGCTTCTCTTCCCAATTGAGAAAAATATACCTTGATAGTCCTTTATTATAAAAATTACAAAAAAAAAAGTTATGTGATCGATTTTTTATTTGGATTTAGCTTTTCTATTGTACACCCTTCATATTTATTTATATATATAATATTGTTGGACGTTATTACGAAAACTTAATATATTTATTTATCTCAACAAAATATTTTTAAGAAAATCATTTTGTATTAATGCATTGGTTATTCGAGGGCAATTAAACTTGTTAGTACTATATAATTTGGTTATTTCTCATCAGATATTTGTTTTGGTGATGAAATTTTGATATAATTTTTCAAATATTTTGAAATGACATTTTACTCGCTCACTCACCAAACTTAAATTTCTTTCAAATAAAATTAATTCATGTTCAAAAATTCAAATTATCAAGTTTTCACTTCAAAAATATACTTAGATAAGAAAATCCTGATGAGGAAATAATTAGGAGCCCGAAGCCTTAAAGGGCAAAAGAAATTGTCAAAAATTCTAAAGGGTTATATAAAAAAAATAACTAAAAAGGTAAAATCGCTATTGACGTTGCGATTTTGTTTTCACTCAACATTCAAAATCGCTGGCCTATCAGCAATGTCGGCAAAAAAAATTCCAAAGAAGATCGCTGCGTGGGCAGCGTTTTCTTAATTTTTATAAAATAAAATCGTTGTAACTGCAGCATTTTTATTGAATTTATTTTTGTTAATATCGCTACTTAAAAAAATGGATTTTTTTAATCACTTAGTGAAATCTTTACTAAAAATTGTAATGCAATTTATTTGATCAAAAACTGAGAAGAAAAATCTTCAACATATAATACGACTTCTTTTAGAAAATAGTAGGCAACGATATTTTTAAAAACATAAATTTACTAGAAGTTATTTGTTTAATTAAAAAGAAAAAACTTTTTTTAATAAAACGCTGATTTTAATTATTTTCAAAAAAAAAATCACCAACATTAAATAATTTTTATAAAATAATTGACATCTTTATTTATGAAAAAAGTATTTACTTTAATAGCTACCAAGGCCATATTTTAAAAAAGAAAGAAAAAATATTTTCACAGATATCCCTACAGAGGTAGCGATATTCCAAAAAAATGTCATTCTTTTTTTAAAAAAGAAAAAAAATATCAACAAAAACTCTGGTAGGTCAGCGATTTGAGACTTAACGAAAAATAAAATCGTTGTGTCAATAGTGATTTTGCCCTTTTGGTTTTAAAAAAAATGATATACCCTTTTGGAATCTTTAGTAAATTTTTTTACCCTTTAGACTTCGGACTCAAATAATTAGCAGCCCAAGGACAAAAACAATAAGATTTTTTAAGAACAATTATTGTATTGATTACACAGAAAAGGGTCAAAATTACCCTTGAATAATAAGAAAAGGTCTAAAAATATTTTTCATTCATGTTTTGATTTTAAAATACTCTTTCATCACCTTTTTGGTTCGCATATACCATTCCATTCACCTTTTTGGCTCACTTATACCCTTTCATTCACCTTTTTTACGAGCTTATACCTTTATAACTAGTAACTAATTTTTATTTTATGTTTTAAAAGTATTTATTATTTGTTATTTTTTTATTAGATTAAACAAAAATCTCATCTCTATTAATTATTTCCCCACAACTTATTTAAATCAACAATATATATACAGCTTCAAGATCTTAAATTTTTTTTTAAAAAATCTAGTAATTTTTGTATTTTATCTAAAAAAAATTAAAAAAAAGTTTGTTTTAAATAATTAATATATTATGAAAATATTAATAGTGCCACAATATTTATCTTCCTTTTTAGAAAAATAAATAAATAGAAAAATTGTTATCTTAATTTTTTTGATAATTTGTGATAACTACTTTTTAAAGAAAAAGTCCCACATACAATTTTATTTAAAACATTAACTTATTAAAAAAACAGATGGATGGTCGTAGCTATAGGGAAAATTTAAGTAGGAAAATAGAGAAAAATGTGTGTAATGTACTTGTAGATAAAATAATATATTGTTATGAGTATGACATAATAATTTTTTATAAAATATTAATCATCTATATCATGTTAATAATCTTGATTTAATTAATTAAATATTATTCGTTGATTTTTTCTTTTGTCATAAGTCTTCAAATCCAAATAAAATATTGAGGAAATAGAGAGGAGTTGGATAAAAAAATCATAATATTTTTTATAAAAAAATTGGGGTCTAGAAGAAGTCTATTGCTATGATTTGGATAAATAATCTGATTGAGATGAACTTTTTATATTGTCCAATAGGAGGATGACAAATAATAAATACTTTTTAAAAATAAAGAATAAAGAGAGAATTGTTAGTTTTAAGGTAATTAGTGATTCAAAAAGGTGATGGAAGAATAACTTTTAGACCAAAAAATAGATAGAGGATATTTTAAATCTTTTTTCTTTTGATCCATTTGTTATGATCAAATTCACACACACACTTGATGAATTAAGAACACAAGAACTTTCAAGAGAAAGAGATGAGATATCTAGAGAGAGAAAAAGAGAAACCAAAATTTCGTGGTAACACCCTGTGAGTAAACTTTCACGGCGGTGGGTATATATATTAATAATTCAGAGTATTTTAGATTACAGAGAGTAAATGAAGAATAAATATTGCAGCCTAACACCATTTCCCTCGATTATATACTTAGTTCCATATTTTCTTTGAGAGTTGCTTTGCCTCATGTAAAAGATTTAATCTAACAAGTTGACTATGGATATTAGGTGCTAGTTTAATTAGGGAAGAAAATAAAAAGTGATTCTAAAAATCCACAAATCCACTAGTTACTTATGCCTATATATATTATAAACAATGATGCCGATATATATTTTAAATCAAATAATCCGTCTAGTTCATGTAAGTGAGTTGTTGAAATATATATATATACTAGGCAGTGATGTCCCGCGTAAGCACGGGCCCAACAAAAATTTTTGCGAGTTAATTTGCGCATGTACGTATCTATGGACTATGAATGACTTTTATGGGCTAAATTTTTGCGAGTTGATTACGCAAACAAACTTTATATAAATGGTTGTCAATCATTTGTTTGTAGTTGTGGCTACATTTACATAGGATGTTTACATCCTATACTATTTACATACTGCTACATTTTAGTTTCTTTTCAGTGTTAGTACCTAGAAAATGTACCTGCAGAAGAGGAAAAATGATTTTAGATTTAAAGTGGAATATTTATTTATGCAACTAAGTGCGTGCATTTATTCTCCACTCTTTATGAACTGTAGTACTACCTAAACAATTCAGTGGATCTTTCAGCGATGGGAGCAGCAGCAAGAAAAGAAGAAACTCAAAATGTGTACAAGTTGTTTTAGAAAAAAGTCTATGTTTTTACAGTCAACACCAATAGAACCCTTAAGTAAACTAGTAAGTTGGCTTAAGACATTGTTCAAAAGTCACGGATAATAAATTTAGAATTGTGAATTCACATACTTTAATTAGCTTGTCCGAGTTGTGGCAATGATGGTTGATTCATGTACAAACAACCTTCTGTAAGAGCAGAATACGATAACACAAATGATACAAGCCATAGATTATTGTTGATGTTGAGCACATGTTTCCAGTCTTCTCGAATAATGTTGTGTAAATTCACACGGCATAAGGCCCTTGAGGAAAGCGATCCTTACTCAGGCATGACAATGAAGTAGGGTGAAGCGGTGGCGCGGTGAGTAAGAACCTTAGCAAAGATTTTTCAATAGTCAAAGCTCGAATTTGAAATCGGTTAAGCAATATATATTACATTATGTTGAATAATATATTGAGGCTTTGAAGCTTCATCAACTACTTCCTCTTGAGATTGCATTCCAACTTGTTCAATAAAAAAATTAAAAGTCTAAGCAAATAAAATTTTGACACGCCAGACAATAGTTGAAATTAAAGTCATTAGTTTCCTTTAAACTAATGAATAAAAAAATTAAAAGTGTAAGAGAAGCTTCACTTTTCTTAGGATTAAGTACTGCTACAGCCACAAACTCATGCCAGTTGAAGGCACAACATCAACTCTTCTATTTAGATAACCATATACCGCAGTTCTATAACGTTTTGTCCGAAAGAATCAAAAACCCAAAAATCCATCATTTATTGGAGAAACTTCATCATGATCCTTTCTTTTATCCGAACCTTGACATATACAATTCATAGTTGAGTTGAAACCGTGGGAGTCAAAATAGTAAGCAGATTATCCATTTCCAATTTCTTATGGTCTCCTAAGCAAAAGTAAAACTGAACATCAACAACAAATCCAAACAATAATTCAAAAAAAACTTTAAAGATATCAATTTCAAATTGAGCCAGAAAATTGAGTTTCAGAGCAAAATAACCCATGGCAATATTAGTTAAGTCAATATTCGGGTGGTAAACCTGCAAAATCCGAGTTTCCAGAGCTAATGATAAAACAATTGGAATCTAAATTCATTCTTCAAGAAATTGAAAGAGAATCGAAAGGAAAAAAGCTATAAACCATTACCCACCTTAGTCTTGCACTTGACCTTTGGAGCCTCAGGAGGATAAATAGAAGAAATGCTGAAAGAGAAGACAAAAGTTCCACCCCTGAATACGAACAAATAATACAATGTACGTTATCAGCAGCGAGGAAAGCTAACTTCAAGTGCACCAATTTTCCATAAAAATACGAAAGCAGAAAGGCATATCCAAGTCGAAGTAAACTTTTTTCAGGAATATACTTCATTAAAGAGAGAGAATAGTTTCAGCAGAACTACTTACACATAATATCCTTCATCAGGACGAATGGTGACTTCAAAGTTCATGAGGTCATCTTTTCCGTTAGGGAATGATATGCTACATGTTTCAGGTAGATTTAGTTCACTGATATCTACAGGGAACAAAAAAAAACGTTAAGGCCATCTTCATTGGTGTGGAAAAAAATAGAAGACAAATAAATAGTCGGAGAAAAGAACCACTCAGAACAAAGAAATATAAATGGATCTCTTTTGTATAGATTCTTTATTATAAAGGGAAACATTCTATGATGAATCCGAGAATGAGGCAATGAAGGAAGGAACTGATACAATCATTCATGAACTACCGTCAAAAAGTTCATCAATCAAAACAAAGACGAAGAGAATCCCTTCGCTAGAAATTGCTTTGCATCAAGCAACTACAATCTTCACTTTTAACTTTCAATATATGTGATTCATATGCAGTTAGCTGTCACATATAGAGGTTCAAGTAAAATCAATCTTTAACAGTGGATGGTCAAACATAACATAATTTTCTCCTATATACAAGTAAAAGGAGTCAACAAAGAAATGACAATGTATACATCATATCTCTACAGCGGGGGGGGGGGGGGAGGGGGACACTCCATGTTTCACAGCCTTCTGGTCTCCATTTACACTAATCCTCCTCCAATGGTCCAACATCCCACTTCTCACCTTCATTGTCACAAAGAACCACCTTAAGAGGGATTTACTTCGACACACACGTTGGATTCTAGCAATGCACAACATGGGCCTGTACACTTGTAGTTGTACCAGGTGGGCAAACTGTTTGTGAAATACCTGAGATCAACAACACCCATCCCCTCCAGTAAAGTAGTACATTTTCTAAAAAAAATTACTTTTATTTTTATCAGGAAGCACTACATGCTCTATTGCCTTTTTTCAGCCTACCACAGTGATATCAAAAGCGAAAAGCATAAAAATTCTCTAAGGTCTATTGGGACTTGGGGCTTTAAGTGCAAAGCACAAGTAAAGTGTAAGCTTTAATGAAAAATGGAACAGTGGAGAAAAAGTATTGAAGATATCGATGTCAGTATAATGAAATCCAGAAAGGAAAACGAAAGAGAAAGACTACTCGTGATATTGTTCTTATATATCAAATATAATTGTATTATACAAACACCAACAAATGATAGCATTGACCATAGTCATGAATTTGAAAAAATGTGGTGCAAATGTAACAAGTTCAAGGAGGCATGAGAAAGATTCAAAGCACTAATATCCGTGTAAACACGGGCCCAACGTTGTTAATTTTTTCTCATTTTCATATCATACTTATCTTCATTAATTAATTTTATCTTATACTATCTTAATATTTTATTGTAAATATAATAATAAAGTTTTGATATAAATATGATTGTAATGAGAGAGTACTATAAACAGAAAAATCAAATAATGATGAGATTGTTTAAACGGAAAAGGATTAAAATGTCCTTAAATTATGTGAAATTAATGAAAATGTCTTTCTTTTATAGTTTGACTCAAAAATATTTTTATCGTTAATATTAAAGAGGTATCATCAATTGGTTCAAACATAAATTAATGTGTTAACTCAACAAAGTCTGAGAATCTAAACAAGACTATCCTCCATCTTAAACGGCAAATAGTTAAACCAAACACTCTTATATAAAACTTAATGACATCAACATTTTAGTGATGTTATTAGGGAAATTTCAGAATAACATTTACCTAAAACCAGGGGAATCAGAAGGTAACAAGCCAGGTTCACTGGCAAGTCTATGGTGTGTGTGTGTGTGTGTGTATATATATATATATATATATATATATATATACACACACATATATATATATATATATATATATATATATATTAGACACTAAAATAGAATAAGACACATGAGAGGTATGTATTAGATTGTGATAATACTATCATTATCTCTAGTATGAACAATAAACCAATAATTTGTGGAATTTCAGCCCATTCAAAAATCAAGAAATGCCTAATCAACATTAAGTGTAAGATCATAATTTCACTTATACCAGCTACCAATAGTTTCTTACTTTGTCTATGATAGACATTTTTCTGTTATTTTTCTAGTTATTTTTCTCATTATCAGTAACAAGAAAACAACTTTCTATCCTTGAACTCTTCAGACACACCCAAATCTTCTACCAATCAAAATGGAACAGAACAGAGTGGATGGACAGCTACTATCGAAGGAGATAAAATGAGGAATGAGAGAGAAAGAAATCACAACGACGGATGAAAAAAGAACATACCTGTAGCTGAAGCCTTGATTGTAATAACTGCAAATCGTTAACTTCACCCTGCACGCAAAATAATTGTAGAATGAATTTAGTATTTTTTGCAATTTGTACCTATCAAATAATCTGTTACACTAATAGCACACTTGTTTTCCTTGTTACCAGCATGAAAAAAGATTGTCCAAGGTTCAAATGCAATGTATTATACAGGGGATAGATTGGATTGGATTCTATGTGAAAAATAGCATGTGAGCACCTTTAAGTAAAATGAGTCGTGCATACTATAGAAGTAATAGTAGCAGTTTGATGTGTCTTCTGCAATAGAAGTTTGGAAGCCTTTTCCATGGCTAAGAAATATGCTAATCTATTCTTACTTTTCTCTGACCAGAAGTGTGAGTCCTTAAGTTTTTACTTGGCTGAATCGATCCAAGATTTTGAGAAAGATACTGAAACATTGAGGGATAAATGTCTAAAATTTTATAAAGGATGCCGAAAGTACAAGTAAGTCTCTTCATCTTGCTCTTTCTACTTGTCTTCATATTTTATGTTTCACGGAGCACTTTATTATTAATTCATTCCATGTAAAGAGGGATCAACAGAGAAAGAGCACAACAATTGGTTTCAATACACTCTTTTCCTACATAACAAACAACACTCCATGCAAATGAGATAAGATTTCAAAGAAGAAATGACAGTAAACAGCTCTTACAAAAGTTCGAGAGAAAGGGACTATCAAGAGAAACATCTCTGAGTATTAGAACAATCAATAACGTAAGAAACGACAACATGTAAGGTTAAGTTTGCAATACTCACAAGAAGTTTCTTCCACTCTCTCACTTTGAAGCAAGGTAGTAATTATGTCCTTCATCTCGATGGTTAGTTACCATCACCTTCCTATGTGCTTCCCTCACTCTATTTGCTTCAGTGCTTTGCTCGTTGAAGATATTGATGTCAGTATAATGAAATCCAAAAAGGAACTCGTGATATTGTTCTTATATATCAAATATAATTGTATTATACAAACACCAACAAATGATAGCATTAACCATAGTCATGAATGTGGAAAAATGTGGTGCAAATCTAACAGGTTCAAGAAGGCATGAGAAAGATTCAAAGCAGTAATATTGTTGTATAAGAGTTGAAACATGTGTATACTATACCCTCTACACAGGTGGTGCCTATGGAGGGTGTAGTATATGCAAACCTTACTATTACCTTTTGCGCATTCTCGCAGTGGGAGGTCTGACCTTGAATGATTGTCATGCCTGAACTTCATATCTTCAAACATATGGAGCAGGAACTATAACCACTTCTGCTATTAATGGCGCAGCCTGAAGCAAAAATTAAAATAACATAAATTTCAAGAATAATCAACACCATTGATTCAATTTTTTGCGGTCGAAAAATCGAACATCAACAAGAAACTCAAATAAAGAAAGAAGCAAATTTGAAGACACCCAAGTAAATTTTGTCAACAGAAGATAAAATTAATAACAACTAATTCCAATACGTTTTTGTTGAAGAACAATACTTATTTTTACAAATACAAAAAGAGAGTTACTACTAATAAAATATATATATAAAATTTAACATTTAACCCCTAAATTAACCTATTTTTACTAAATTCACCCCAAACCCAAAAAGTTGTACCCTTTTTTTATCCTTTTTCCAATCTTTTAGATATTAGCAAAAAAGGACCTACAAAAGTCTAGTAACTGACACATTTAGTCCAAAAAAAGTTGTGATTAGTCTATAGCACAAAAAGATAAGGATTAAGAGCCTGTTTGGCTCAGCTTAAAAGCTGGTCAAACTGACTTAAAAGCTGGTTTTTGACTTATTTAGTTGTTTGACAATACTCAAAACAGCTTATTTTAAGTTAAAAAAAACTTATGTTAAGCCAAAAGTTAAAAGCTGGGGTAGGGGTGCTTTTTTTTTTTAGCTTATAAGCTGTTTTAAGTTGACCACATTTTTATCTTTTTTGTGCTTAATATTTGTATACAATCTCCAAATTACCCATATAACCCTAACATTTCTTTCTTCCATTTTTACCTTTTCACGTTTGACATAACAACTTCAGCACTTTTATCCAAACGCATAACTGCTTATTTTAAAAATAAGTTTCAGCACTTTTAAAAGTACTTTTTTAAAGCTGCTTTTATTAAGCCCATCCAAACGGGCCCTAAAACTTATCCATATCTCTACTGTTTCTCATCTTCTTCGGCGACTTTCTCTTCGCCGTCATCGGCGGTCACCGGCTGTAAAAGCAACGCCGTGAACGGCATATGCCGATACGCATTGCCGGAAAATTCTAACGACGGTTGGCATAAATCAAGCCGGCAATTTGGCTGCGATTGTGGAGTCATAGAGAAAAATCCACCACCTACCGGAAATCCAGAAACAGGCGTAGCTCGTGTTAATGGAGCTAAAACCGACGGTTGTGACTGAGACAACGGTATGTTCTCCGACGTCGTAGTGACTTAAGTCGCCGGAACCGTACCTGTTCCTGTAGCAGCGATGATTGCTGGTTCAGCGTTACGGAGAAGCCACTCTATCGTTTCTCCGTCAGTCCTATGACCTAGCTCCTTCGTCAATTGAAAAACACGCGCCGCGCATAACGCCAGCATCCTTACGCGCCGTCCTCTACCATTGACTTTTGTATGCCTGTCTTTGCTAGATGAAACGGATAACTCATTCTTCTTCTTCGTCGGAACGACCGCGAGCGCAGTTTTGCCATTTGTTTCTGAGTTAACATTAACCTGAAGAATGTTGAAGAAGAGTGCACAGACGGTGGAGTATAATGAAGTGATATAACATAGGAGGAAGACACGTTTTCACCGGGAACTGAAAAGACAAAATTTATGACACATGAAAAAGACACGTAATTACATTTAGAACTGAAAAGACAAAAATGCCCTTGAAAGCAATGAAACAGGCATGTTGAAACAAGCATTTTCTAATATAAGAGTTATATATATATATATATATATATATGAAGAACATAAATTAAATTACTTTTCTAACAATTTCTAAACTATTCAATTAATTAGAAAATAAAAATAATCAAAACCTCATTAAATAAAAAATAATACTAAAAAACGCCTAATATTTCTCTTGAACTTTTAACCATAAAAAAGAGAAAACAAATAAAATAAAAAATCAGGTAAAAAAAAAAGACGATGGCAATTGAGAAGATCGATAGCATACATAAGTGAACAGACATTTAACATTACCTATAAAATTTTCATATATAGATATAGTAAAGATTCGTAATATCGTGCGTCATACAGATATAAGATAACTTAGAATGTTAGTCCATTTAAATTGCTCCGTAGACATATTTAACAACTAACGTATGGACAGAGCATGATTATTATACATGCTTTAATAGTTCCAAGTTTGGGCAAAATAAATTATTATCGGATCTATTTCTAATTACTTCTCCATTTATAAGATGTCATATCTATTAATAAATTAATAAATAATACAGTAAATCTATTATTTCATCACTATTTGTTATGAAATTGATGAATTCAAAATTTACAATTTTCAAAAAGTTATATCTATTTCAAAGTAATAAAGTGGAGGTATAATAGGTTAAATTTTTTGTTCTTTCTTAATATGTCATAATGAACAAGTAATTAATGACAAACGAATACTATATTTATTTGTTTTCTCACAAAGATGAGTGACGTTAATGACTTTTTCTTCAAATTAAGTATTTGATATTTTTCATTTTTGATAAAAACGATGAAATGAAAAATTCATATCTTTAGTGAAGGAAAAAGAGAAAAAGTCAAATCAGTCAGAGTATGTAGTGATAAGATGTCAGATGGTTACTCAACCTTAAAATGGTAAATTAGAAAGTTACTCAACTTAAATTGATCACTAAATTTTGTTTTATAACTCAAAATTCACTTAACTTTTGCAATTTTTTTAAAAAAAATTCTCAATTATATATTGATATTTTAGATAGAAAGTCAA